CACTTTGACCTATCAAATGGATTGAGCTAAGGAATGATTCAGTATATTCACTTCACTTCACTACTACATTTATCCGGTCTAGCAAGGATGGATAGTTCACTCTTCCGATGGTTCATTCTACGCTTTGCTTTCTATCAATTATTTCATGAGAATAAACAGGTAGTTATTTGACCAAGTTCTGAGTGGTTCGAGATTAGCCTAAGGCTGCATATGTCCTATTGGTGGTGGATTGGATCGTCTGATATAGTAAGCATTTAGACTCACATATCAAGCCGTAATTTGCTTCTTCTGTTCCAGTAGCTGAATTTGTTAGCAAGCGGGCTAGCAGCTTGATCCTAACATTATTCACTTTTACTCCTTCTTGTAGGCTTACAGTACTTGTCATGTCTTTGGCCGTATTTAAACTAATTCATTCTTATCTTCTGCGTTCATCAGTTGTGTAATTTCGATTTCTTCGGATGTTTTTCGGATTTTAATTATTTTTACAATTATTTCTAACTTTAGAAGGATTTGGCTATCATTCAGTAAACTGAATAATGTCACTTTTCCGCTATAATCCTCGCGATTATTTCTATACCTCACCGATGGAACGTTTCATAGTGAATGCGCTTGATAACGCTTTCGGTGATAAATCTTCATACCGACCGCTTCAAAGTGTCGCACCATACTGGCTACATCAGCCGGCGTTGAATGAATGTAATATTGGAAATGCGCTTGGCGAGGTAATTGTAATTTTTCATTTACTATTTCTCATATTTTTAGATACATACGACATCCATGCTTAAATCACATGGTTTCACATAAAATGTCATCCACTTTGTTCGTTTGCTTTTATTGTCACAAAATCCGCCTGATCACTTAGTGTATGAAGTAACTGGTTGCAAAAGTTTTCTTCGAAGTGTTTCAAATCAGTTGTGATAAATTTCAGGTATTAGATGAGAAAGATAAGTTTACAATTCAAGTTGATGTTTCTCATTTTCATCCCAAGGAACTTTCGGTATCGGTTCGAGATCGTGAATTAACTATTGAGGGTCATCACAAGGAGCGTTCTGATCAGTCGGGACATGGTAGTATCGAACGTCACTTCGTTCGGAAATATGTTATGCCAGAAGAAGTGCAACCTGACACCATCGAGTCACATTTGTCCGATAAAGGAGTGTTGACAATTTCTGCAAGCAAAACAATTGCCGGCTTACCTGCAGCACGCAGCATACCTATTCGGGCATCCCCAAAAGAACCGGAAGCAGGTGAGAAATCGACATCGGATGGCACAAAGCAGTCAAAGTGAAAGTTTCACCTTTTTTGAGTATATATTATAAAGAGAAAATGTTTTATTAAAGAAATTTGAAGATGGATATGATCAGTCCTTCGTCTTTTGGATAGTCAATAACTTTT